ATCCCAGTCCTGCTGGCTCCGGGGACAGCACATCGGCCCCCAGCAAGGGAGGTGCTCCCGGGATGCTGAGCGCTTCATTCGGTCTCCGGGACTCAGGCAGGGTTGCTCCAGCTCTGCAGTGCTCCTGGACCTACAGGTCGGCGCGGTCCGAAGTCCCATCAGGGGCCTTAGCAGGAGCCCTCTCGTACTCCGGGGGCACACGTGCGTCGGGCGCCGACTTGCGGTAGAAGCCGAGCTCTTGCATCAGCGCGTTTATCTCCTCACGGGTCATGTCACTCAGAGGGATGCGCTGAGGAGGGAGGGGGGATGTCAGCGTGCAGGCCCCGCCTCCGGCCACGCCCCCACCGCCTCCCAGGACCTCACCTCCAGTTCCTCATAGCGGTGGCCCAGCAGCACGAGTTCAGGGTCGGCCCCAGGGAGGTGTTTCATCACCAGGTTGTGGCTGGAGGTGGTGTTAAGGGGAGTAGATGGGCGGAGAGACTTGGGGGCTCCCAAGGCCTTGTTGATATGAACAACAGTAGCCAGTTGTACAACACTTACTCTGTGCCCTGATGGGACCGGGATCCCCACTTATGCGTGAGAAAATTAGGGTTCAAAGACGTGAATGGCCCCTCCTCTTTGTTCTGTTTTTAATGTCTTTTATTATTATTATTATTAATTATTATTATTTTACATTGAGAGACAAAGAGAGAGAGGGAAAGTGAGAAAGCAAGCTGCCAGGTCCAGGACTCGAAGGGATGGCTATGTGGGAGTCCAGCACCTCAACCACCACAGCATCTACTGGCCCCCCCTCCACTTCATTCTTTGGCAACCACCACTAGTCAGTCTCTGGCCTGCCCACCCAGAGACCATCTCAGAATTCTCTAGGCAGTCACTACCAAAAACCGCTTGCCACCCTTATCTACAAATCTACAGGGATGGAGATTTTGTTCAGGTGCCTTCCCCATCTCCCCTTCCCCAGAACAAAAGGATACTACAATGGAATGTCCTGGGTGACGAAGGCCTTCACCTGGGAAGAAACCAGAGCATTAGAAAAGATGACCCTAACCCCCTCCAGGGACAGACAGGAAACCGAAGGCCAGCGGAGTCATGCAGCCAGTCAGGGGAAAGTGATCCACACCCAGCACAGACATCCTTCCATAACTCCAATCATTGGGACCATGCTGCCCACTCCCCAACAGTCTTGGGGGGTTGCGGAGGGCAGAGTTGGGGACTCCTTCCTTCAGACTCACCTCCTTTAGGCGGTTCAG